CACACACACACACACACACACACACACACACACACACACACACACACGTTGCAGCGACTTTCTCAGCATTCTCAAACTTCCTGAAAACCAGGTTCAGTACCTGTACCCTAAAGACATCTCATGGAATGCACAGGTTGCCCCTCTTAGGTAAGGGCAGTGCAGGAAATCCACGAGAAGATGCTTTAGATCCAGAGGAGTTGCCAGCAGGAACCATGACCAGCTTAAACGTAGACACCCTCCCCTGCAAGGAGAAGTTCTCCGGCCTGACCTCAAAATCTGCTGCCTTTACCTTCTGGCTCCCTGAATAGCAGTCCCTGCCTTAAGGGGTCACTCGCCTGTTTCCTCACTGCTTAAGGACTGTAAGATCAAACTGTTTCCCACCTGTCACCACCTGCTCCGCCCCCTACCGCTGTCCTCCTCCAAGTCTTCCAGGTACCCTTATCACTCATCACCATCTCCTCTGTGCCCTTCTCCTCTCCTGGCTTCAGGTCTTCTCCCAAAATCAAGTCTCAGAAAGCATCTCTTGAGTTTAAAAAACAAACAGATGTGGATGCTGGAGCACCACGCAGCTGCCAGCCTCTGCTCCGCTCGGCACCCCCGGGCTATGTCCAGGCCCACGCCAGGGCCCCACAGCCCACGAAGGACGCCCAGCTCTACAGCTGCCAGGGCCTGCACAGGCAGCCAGCCCCAGTCTGAGCCTCTGCTGCCTCAACTAGATCCTGAATGTCAAAAAGCAGGGCGTCTGCTTGATGAATCTGAGGACAATGGGAACTCTGGGTGACGCTGGCCGTCTGGACGATACCACGTATGCAAAACTGGCCGAGGAGACGCTGGATTCCTTAGCAGAGTTTTCTCAAGACCTTGCAGACAAACCTTACACACTTGAAGGCTATGATGCCTCCTTTGGGAATATGGTGTTTTAACAATTAAACTGGGTGGAGATCTAGGAACACACGTGGTCAACAAGCAGACCCCAAACAAGCAAATCTAGTTATCTTCACCATCCAGTGGCCCCAAGCGTTACGACTGGACTGGGAGAAACGGGGTGTACTCCCACGATGGTGTGTCCCTCCACGAGCTGCTGGCCACAGAGCTGACTCAAGCCTTAAAAACCAAACTGGACTTATGTTCTCTGGCCTACTCTGGAAAAGGCACTTGCTGCCCAGCCGAATGCTGAAGACATAAAAAGCGCTAAAGCCAAGACCCCAGCTTTGCTCTGCAGCTGAATGGCTAGTCTTCTCCATTCCTGCTTTTGAGGACAGTTGCATTATGTGTACGGCTCTGTGAAAAGACCGTGTCGCCTCCCTCCCTGCCTGTGAGTTCAGATTTTTAATTTCCACAGGTTTCTTTGCATTTGTTGTCTGACTTCCTCCCTCACGTGACAGCCCTTATCTTTTGTAATGTCTGTATGCCCATACCTTTAATATATAACCTCACAACAAAGAAAAAGAAGAAGACAAATTCCAGGAGGAGAAATGAATTGGCTTCACCATTCATTCTTTGAAAGACTTACTACAAAAACTGCATGAAGAGCAGCTGGCCAACCTTGCCATCCTGTCTCAAAATGAGACTCATTAAAGGGAAACCTAAAACGTTCCTACTCCCCTTGAAAGTGTAAACACTTCTAAGCCCTTTGGTATTGAAGCATCAGTGGCAACTCGGGAATTCTCAAACCGAAGACCATTTTCTCTTTGTGCTTTGTGACTGCCAGGGTGTGGCCCGCATGGGGTGACACAGGGAGATGTGGTGCTGTGTCTTCCATATGTCCATATATATGTACACACACATTTACATGTGTGTGTACATATATTTTTTTTTAATTTAAGGGTCGTTATAGAATAAGCTATTGCAACACTGGTCTGAGGATGCAAAAAAATCTCCCAAAAGCCACCTCTGTACGCTCATGGATATAGTACAATAAGTGAGGTCATGGAGCTGAGAGGTGCTTGGTAAACTGTGAAAGGCCACATAAATGAAAAGATGTTGGTGTTAATGAAAGGAACCCCGGTCTTACACTTGGCCCAGCCCAAAAGTAGTTGTCTGTGTCTGGGCAAGTTTCTCGAACTCTCTGGACCTCTGTTTCCCCGTGTTAACAGAGAGGGTTAAACTGGATAGAATATAGTCGATTACCAATTTAGACATTTAGTGGTCCCGTCAGGCAACTTATCAGGCCAGCTTTAATTCCCTCTAGTAGAGGAGATGACAGTGAACAGTTTTTTAAAAACTATAGAGTAAGTATATGGTTTTGGGTTTTGCTCTACTTGAATTTCAGTTGAATTCAGGTTCAAATAATCATCCTTTATTGTGCCATTACCGTGCTAAGCCTGGGCTGTAGGCTGAATGTTAAAGTGTTGATCCTAACCCCCAATCACAGCCCTCATAAGTGCGATTAGTGCCCTGGGAAGAGAGACCCCAGAGAGCTCCCTCATCCCTTTCACCATGTGAGGACACAGCGTGAAGACAGCTGTCTATGAACCAGGAAGCAGGCCTTCACCAGACGCCCAGTCTGCGGGGGCCTTGACCTTGGACTTCCCAGCCTCCAGAACGATGAGAAATAAATTTCTGTTTATAAGCCAAACAAACAAACAGAAATAGCAAAAGAGGCCTCGCATCCAACCCAGTGATCTCACTAAAGGTGCACGAGCATGCATTTTACATAATGTGCAGCAGTCTTGCGTCTTCCACTCTAGGCCGTGAATTGAGACCACTTTCTATCCTCTGCCCCCATCGCGTTAACCAAGGACACCTAACAGCAAGAAGGCGGCTGTAAAGTCCTGAAACGCTGCTGAATGTGCATTTCCGCTCAGCAACGTATTCGGGTTCTGAACGACTTCTCGGTGACTCCTGAGACTTAAAGCCGGGGTGTAGGAGGGCAGATCCTGTGTGTCATTACTTACAACTGCACACACCTCAGACGCGCGTGACGAGCACGAACTGCATCATGAGGCACTAAAGCGTCAAGCCCAACACTAAGCGGCACGGTTTCACGGCCCGTACTGTTGGGAGGAGTAATTTTCGGTGCCGTGAAGCTGCCACTTGTCCCTACTCGGTGGAGCGGGTGCGGAAGGGATTTCAAAAGGACACAATCCATTTCACGTGTGGGTGAAGGCCCAGCAGCTGCCGGATCTCACCCTCCGCGCCGCACAGCGGACTCCCGGCGGGAGGACCCGGGCTTACCTGAGAGCGGCGGCCGGTCGGGCTCCTGGCCGCCGCGGGCGGGCGGCGCGGGGTTAAGCAGGTGCGCGAAGCTGGCGGCGAAGGGGTTGGCGGCGAGCGGCTCGGTGCGGTACATCTCCCAGAGCAGGTAGAGCGCCGTGAGGCGCTGCGCCGCGCTGGGCAGAAGGTCCGGCTGCTGCAGCAGCATGACGAGCACAGAGCCCAGGCGGAAGTGGTCGGCCTTGCTGAAGTAGTGGTGGAAGGCGGTGGACAGGCCCTCGAAGGTGCTGCCGCCGCCCGCCTCCTCCGAGATGATGCTCAGCAGGCTCGAAAGCTCCTTCGGGGTCAGGCTCATCCTGCACGCGGGGCCCCCCGGGCCTCCACAACCCGGCCCGGGGCCACCCGCTCCGCCTCTGCCGCCGCCGGAGCCGGAGCCTCCTGGCCCACTCCTAGACACCGACCCCGCCGCTTCCCGGGCCCTCCTTTGCTCCGCGGCGGTAAGAAGACGGCCACACGCCGCGCTCGCCCCGCCGCCGGGCATCAACCTCGCTCGCCAGTCCTGTTTCCGGGCCGGAGGGGCCCTGGCACCGGCTCGCTCCGTCCCCGCGGCCGTAAAGCGCGCTGTGGCACGACAGCGTCGCAAACAAAACCCGCCGGGAAGCCAGCCGCCCGCAGAGAAGAGTGTGGCGCGGACCCAGAGCGAGGCTGCTGGAGCCGGGCCAGGGAGAGGATCCCGAGACGCCGAGTGGGCGGAGCGAAAAGCCGGAAATGGGGGTGGGGCCTGTGGGGGAGCTGCGGAAGTCTCGCGGTGCCACAGCACCACGCTGTGGTGCAGTCTGCGCATGGGCGAGCAACGTCCGCCCCCAGAGGCACCCCGAGGGTTGTACCAGGCAAAGAAGGTCCCAAGAAATTTGTGACGTTATTGCCTGGAAAAATGCATCTTATAATATGAAAAGTTGCGGGCTTCCCTAGTGACACAGTGGTTAGGAATCTGCCTGCCAATGCAGGGGACATGGGTTCGCGCCCTGGTCCGAGAAGATACCTTATGCTGTGGATCAGCTAAGCCCACGTGCCACAACTACTGAGCCTGCGCTCTAGAGCCCGCGAGCCACAACTATTGAGCCCAAGTGCGACAACGAAGACCCAATGCAGCAGAAAAAAAAAAAAAAATCTGAAACGTTTTCTTAATATAACACACCTGGCTGTTCATGGTGAAACCTTTTTAAGTGCTAATAGCTATGAAGACCACGCGTTTCTCATTACCAAAGTTAATTTCCAGTCTTACACTCCTATTTGAGGAAATGGAATCATACGCACACGAGCTTTTGTACACAGTTACTTTAACAAGATTTTCGTAAAATGTTTCCAATAAACATTCGTTTACAAAATTGTTGTACAACTTTTTACCGCAGCCTGCCCAAGGGCGCTGATTCTGGGCCTTAGCTGTGCATTGGAAGTTCCCCAAGAGCCTTCAAAAATGCTAGTGCCTGGTCCTGGTGGCCAGGTATTAACAAACAGAAAGCAAAAACACCTGCCCAGGTGCCTAGTGTGTACTCTGGGTTGGGAATCACGGAGGGGTGTGTTCCAGACTTCCCCAGTTCCTCCCTTAGACCTACAAAACCCTACAGGGATTCCACCAGCGATTCCCAGCAGGCAAGTTTGGGAGATACAGTCTGCGCTAACTCATGCTAGTAGCTCGAGAATTATCTAGTTGCGCGCCACCTTAATTCTAAAGTATAATTGAAGGAAGAGAAACTGCTGGGTCAAGGGGCATGCATATTCTGAAGGCTTCTTCACTTGACTATTAGATATCCCTGTAGAAGGGTCCTTTCAATTAACTAACAGCAGCAGATATAACTTGGTAACGCTTGGACTCCTGGGAAACTGATTCGAATTATCTTGAAAGTACTCTCATTTTATTTATTTACTATAGTAATTAAACTTTATTGTGTTTGGGATGTCTGTTACAGCAATGAGCTTACCTGCATAGGTTTTGCTGTGTTTTTTTTTGGTTGTTTTTTTTTTGTGGCACACGGGCCTCTCCCGTTGCGGAGCACAGGCTCCGGACGCGCAGGCTCAGCGACCATGGCTCACGGGCCCAGCCACTCCGCGGCATGTAGGATCCTCCCGGATCGAGGCATGAACCCGTGTCCCCTGCATCGTCAGGCGGACTCTCAACCACTGCGCCACCAGGGAAGCCCTGTGGGTTTTTTTTTTAAGTTGTTTCAAAATATGTGAACATTATGTGCCCCACCACCCCAAAAAACTAAATAGTTTTCTTTCTGTAAGAGCATTTTCAAAATTAGGTTGGTGTTAAAAAGAAAACCAGAGGCCCCAGATGGAGTCACTTATGCTAGGTCACACTACTAACCTAACTGAAGCTTCACCCTCCCCCAGAAATGTAGTCTTAACCAGGAATTTTCTGGTCAGCACCAATGAGCTAATCGATCACCATGCCCCAAAGGAAAATGAAGTAACCTGTCACAAAGACTTCTTCCATCCCCCATAAGTAGGATACCTATGCCTGAAATAAATCTTCCTTGCTTAGACTTCTTTGTCTTGCCTTTGAAAACCTTTTCTTTTCTGTAGCCCTTGGCAGCTCCTCTCTACTTGCTAGATGGGATGCTGCCCGACTCATGAACTGCTCAATAAACCCCATTAAATCTTTAAAATTTACACAGTTGACTTTTCGTTATTTAACAGTGGTAATCCAGGGTTTCCTACGTGTTCCCCGAAAACAACTCTCAGGCCCTGGTAACAAATAACCACAAACAGAAATCTGTCCTCTCACAGTTCTGGAGGCTAAAAGTCCAAAATAAGAGTGTCAGCAGAGCCAGGCTCCCTCTAAAGGCTCCGGGGAAGAATCCTTCCTTGTCTCCTCCTAGCTTCCCGTGATGCCCAGCGGTCTCTGGCGTCCCTTGGCTTATGCTGCACCATTCCCATCTCTGCCTCTGCAGTCATGTGGCCTTCTTTCCCGTGTGTCTGTGCTTCATATGGCTTTCTTATGGGGACACCAGTCATTGGGTTTAGGGCCCACCCTAATCTAGTATGTCCTCATCTTAACTAACTGCATCTGCAAAAACCCCATTTCCAAATAAGGTCACATTCTGAGGTGGACATGAGTTTTGAGGAGACACCATTCCACCAGTAGAGACCCAAAGCTCTCCCGGACATACATCCAGTCATACATACCGTCCAAGGCCGACCATGACGTCAAAAAGTGGGCGGTGCCCAATTTCTGGAAATCCCCACCCCTTCCCCAAAATAGCTGGAATACTCCTCCCACTCATTAGCCTATGAAATTACCCACCCCTATAAAAACCGACAACCCCCCCCCCCCCCCCCATACCCTGGGGCTGCTCTTGCCTTCTGAGATGGCCCACAAGTCTGTGGAGTGTGTTTCTGTCTAAATTAATCCGCTTCTTACCTATCACTTTGTCTCTCACTGAATTCTTTCCACATGAGACATCAAGAACCTGACCTTCATTAAGTCCTGAGACCAGGTGTGTGAGCTCAGTTAAAAGAACGTGGGTTCAAGTCCCAATCTGGGTTGCACAGTTTCAGCTGGACTGCCAGGGAAGCCCTCGTAATCTCTAACACCAATCAGGGCTTCCCTGCTGGCGCAGTGGTTGAGAGTCTGCCTGCCGATGCAGGGGACGCGGGTTCGTGCCCTGGTCCGTGGAGGATCCCACATGCCGCGGAGCGGCTGGGCCCGTGAGCCATGGCCGCTGAGCCTGCACGTCCGGAGCCTGTGCTCCGCAACGGGAGAGGCCACAACAATGAGAGGCCCGCGTACCGCAAAAAAAAAAAAAAAAAAAAAAGACACCAATCATAGTGGATTAGGGCCCACCCTAATGACCTCACTTGAACTCAATTACTTCTTTAAAGACCCTATACAAATACAGTCACTTTCTAACTGGGGGTTACAACTCAACATAGGAATTTGGGGGGCAGGGAGGCGGAGGCAGGGGACAACACCACAACCTGTGACAAAGAGGGAGCAGTAACTTTGGCATGAGGCAAGGAAATGTTTCATTGTCTCTTTGTTGGCTGGAAGCTCAAAACAAAAGGGAGAAAACTGAATAGGTGGCTCTCACCAAAGTTACACACAGGGAGGAGAGAGGCAGAGACTGGAGTGATGTTGCCACAAGCTGAGAACATCTGGAGCCACCAGAAGCTGGAAGAGGCAAGGAAGCATCCTGGAGCCTGACCCTGCCAAAGCCTTTGTCAGCAGTTAAGGCAGGGGGTCCCCGGAGAAAGAGAACCAGGCACGGCTTTCTTGACATAAGAAAAGCCATTTTGGTCTAAGCCACTTGGCGATCCTTATAGGCCTGGCCACAATCCTTGCCCTTTAAGATGTTTGTAACAGGTCTCAATAATCATTGATCTTAAGGAAAGTGAGGGAACACAGGGACAGAGGGAAAGCGGTCAAGAAACAATAGTTCAGCGATAAAACTGAGTCCTAGTTCCTCCTCAAGGAATATACATAACAATCTGATGCAGTCTCTGAATTCTGCAGGAACTAAGCCCCCCTCCATCCCCTGGTGGAGGATGGAAGGCTGACGTTGACCCTCTTGACTTCAACCAACTAAAGCCTGGACTCTGTCGACCTTTGCCCCAGTTCTATGCTGAGTTCTCCTCTGCTCAAGCCCCTTCATGAATATGCATGTGCCTTAGCTTAAAACGTCCCCAATTTTGCTGTTAGGGGAGACACTGCTTGGGAAAGGTCCCCGGTGTTCTCCTTACTTGTCACAAGTAATAAATGCTTCCTTCTCCCCATCTTCGGCTCGGTTGTAGCTTTTGGCTCAACACCTACCAAGAGGTGAACCCAGTTTTCGGGTAATATCTTCGTTTCAGACGTCTAGCTTCCAAAACTGGGGAAATAAATTTCTGGGTTCTTTTAAGCCACCCAGTTTGTGGTACAATTAATACAATAGTCTATCGTGTGACTATATTATACAAGAATTTCTTTACCGATTCTATTGTTGGTGGGCATGTAGGTAGTTCCCAGTTTGGGAAACTATAATGAATAGAGCGGCTATGACCATTCACGCTGTGGGTATAAGCACTGACTGTGCTTATACGCGAAACAGAGGAAAGCTTCAAGTGAGCTTTATCAGGGAGCGCTCCCGGGCGAGGTTCACTGGTCCGAGAGAAAGGGGCCAGAGAAGTCGCACCCGGGCGAGGGTTGGGCAAGATTTTATAGGGGAAGAAGGGAAAGGGGTGTGGTGAATCTGGGAGGGCGCAGGGTATTCCTTATGTGGTGGTCTTTTCGGGTGTCCTGGGGGGGCCGTTAGTCCCGCCCATCGAAAGGCGGGAAGGCTGGGCTGGGTTCAAAGTCCCCAGGTCAGTTCCTGGAACTGGGTGGTCCGGAATGTCTCCAGGGCAGTTCCTGGAACTGGGTGGTCCGGAGAATTTCGTTCTGATGCAACCTGTGAATCTGCTTGTGTTCCCCTGCCTCGGGCCAGTTGGCCTTACGCTGACCTTTCTTGACTGCACACCCAGGAGTAGAATTGCTGGGTCACAGTCTATGTGCACGTTCAGTTTCAGTGAATTCTGCCAAACAGTTTTCCAAAGTGGATTGTACCAGCTTGTGTCTCCCTCAGCTGTCTATGAC